CAGTGCAGGAAGGATGCAACACAACGCTCTGCGACCCCACCTGCAGCCGGGCTCCGGCGGAACTGCCAACCTGATCCCGCCCGCGCAGTCTCCCCGACTCACTGTGATTCAGCTCCTGCCGGCAAGGCACAGGAGCGGTGCCGTCGTGGGCTGAAACACGATCTCCTCATAGACCTGCATGGGCAGATGCCATGGCCATGACTCCCTCTCGTAGCCACTGGATCTAGGTGTGCTGGTGTCCGTCGTCCCCGGGTCACGCACTGCCGGAGGAAGTTGCTTGGTTGTTGCTGTGGCACGTTTCATGACGTGTTTCCATTTGGCCTGCAAAGGTGCATCGGGCCGGCCCAAGGCGATGGGCATCTGCACAGAACGCGGCTCACTTGGACTTGGAGGGGCTATGTCAATGTCCAATGCTGTTTCCACATGATTGCCCAAAGGGCAGTTCAAAAATGTCTCGAAAAGCGCGAGATCTTCGGCTGTCGAAGTCGCCTCGGACTGCAAGCCGCATGGACACTCCTCACCAGGCGGGTTCCCTACGTAGCGTCTTAGAGGATCAAAGACTCAAAGACAGTCAAAAGAGTCCTTATCAGATGAACACGAAGCCGGCCCTTGGGGTCTGAGAGCCCCTGGGAGTCCTTGGTGTTCAGCCGCACCTCTGCATGCCACTTGCCGATGAAACCAAGGAAGACCAACGTCACCGCTCCCCGCATCCTGCAAGAGCGCAGAAAACCTAGGGACCGATTCCCAACACCGATTGCATCGGTGACGCTAAAAAAGGGCCTCTGGAGGATCTCCGATGCTGAAAGCCCAGCAAAGTCCTGGAACCGTCTGCGGCATCGTCTCTCGGCGACAATCCCCTCAGGTCCTCAGACCCTGCTGCTCCAAGCCTTCTTGCCATTGATTGACACCAGGAGGTCCCCAGACTTGATTCCAGCCTGCACTGCAGAGTGCCACAGCTCGAAACTCCGAACTTCGCCACTTGCCTTGTCGGCCAAGCCACCG